TCAACTACTGACCTCTCTGACTTCCTAGCTCAACCAGTACTTCATGGTTAGTCATTTCAGACCAAACATAGTCAACCCCCTCTCCCCACCCTGACAATTCTCTTGACCTATTGATATTATATTGCAACCATCTTGCCATACATCTACTTGGGTAAAGAAAACAATTTGGTATCTAATCTCATTTGGGTATTACTGCTATAGATACTTCTATTCATTTTTAATTTTCACATTAACCAGAATTTTCTTCTTTTTTAAATATCCCAAACCCATAACTGCTTACCTCACTGTCAGTTGAGAACCCCCATCCTCCACCTCACTGGAAAATTAAGATCATTTAATTTCAAGTTCTCTGCCATGTACGTCAAAATATGTATTATAATGACTCATCTTCTCCTCTTCTGCTGTCTCAGGAAAACTGGTACATTTTGCACAGGCCTAATTCTTTTGGCTATGACCCCAATCCTACTGGAATTTGCTTCATTAATTTATTCCCACACCTTTGGTGGTTTTCAGCTTCCTCACCATTGGCTTCTTTATTTTATTTATTTTTTAAAAGATTTTTATTTATTTATTTAGCAGAGATAGAGAGCACAGGTAGGCAGAGGGAGAGGGAGAAGCAGGCGCTCTGCGGAGCAAGGAGCCTGGTGTGGGGCTCGATCCCAGGACCCTGGGATCATGACCTGAGCCAAAGGCAGCTGCTTAACTGACTCAACCACCCAGGTGCCCCTGGCCTCTTTATTTTGAGCCACAAATCTCTATCTTAAAATTACCTTCCTGTGATTCTGGTTGTCCCTATTGTTATAGATACCCTTCCATGGGTGTCCTTACTTCCTCTTCTGAAATCTACGAAGAGTAGTGTTGCTTTTAATTCCCCCCACATTACTTGCTTCTTAACCACTTGTAGTGCATCTTGATGGTTTCAGTGATAATGTCTCCTGTGTCCAAAAACCCCCTCCTTGTTTCCACCTTTGTCCCCATCTGTGTTGCATTTTCACTCTTAACTCCACTTGTTTCTTCTAGTTATTTCCTCCCATGACTTCCATGACCTTCTATTCTCTTTTCCTTGATACTTTGTATTTTTCCTATCTCCTTTTGCTCTACCAGCCCGGAATAACAAGAAACACTTGAGTTCTATTCTTAGACAATTTATTTTCTCACTTGCACACCTTCCCTAGGGAAGTTCATTTATTCCTTTGTCTGGAAAAAAAAATTTCTACAGTTGTATTTATGACTTCTTTGAGCATCACATTTAACTGACAATACCTTCTGGACACCTTCAAACTTACTATGTTCAAGGTTTAACACTTTCTAATTTCAGCCTGGTTTCTTATCTTGGTTTACAATATGACCACATTTTCAGTCACATAGGCATATATTATTCATTCATTTCCCTGATGTCTCACATTTCTTATATTTTAATGACACATTTGTTTTCTCATTGCCTAAGAAGCCCAGTACCATCTTTCTAGTTGATGTCATTATGATGTCTGTCTTCGACTATTGTAATAACATGTTACTATAATAACCCCCTTTACTAGGTTACCCTGAGATATTGTCATAAAGTCATAAAATTCAAGAAATTTCACAATCTTTCCTTCTTTCAAATCTCTAATGTCTTCCCTTATTTCCAGTGAATTATGTCACCCCCGAATCATTGAAATTCAAAGGCATTAAGATCTGACTCCTGTGTATCCTGAAGTACAGAACCCATCAAACCTGGTATTTTTCTCTTCAAGCTCCTGTCTTTCCTTCAGCCAAAATACTTTATTCACATTTAGTCATCTTTTAAAATTCTACTTATTCTTTTAAGATTTAACCAAAATAACAAGCTCTTTAATGACCAGTTCCCCTGCCCACACTCAGCACCAATGCCCCATTCCTTCAATTCAGGCATAATTAAATTCTACACATTTAAGCACAAATGCTACATGGAGAACTAAATTTTATAACAGAATTTATAAAGGGAGTTAAAACATGGACCCTGCATACGATCAAACAGAAATGCATGTAGTCAGACATATCTAGTGTTAAATGGCATCTTTGCCATTAACAAACTATGATTTTTGGGCAAGTTACTCAATCTCTTGTTGTCTCAATTTCTTCAACCAAAATATGGAGAGGACAGCTACCTCATGATGTTTTTGTAAAGATTATACAAGATAATGTCTGTAAAATGCACAGTGCCTAGAATAGGGGTGATACTAAGTATAAAAAATAAAGGTTATTATTATGCCTGAGATAGAAAAAGGTAATCAGTACTAATCAGGTAAATAAGTCTCCATGACATTTTGCAAAATTCACCAAGGATTTTAAATATCCCAGCTATCCAGGTAGAGTCTTTTTCTGTGATGTTTCATTACAGAGGAAGGTTTATTCCTCTTGTGTACAGAATATTGGTTTGAAGAGAACAATTTATTTTTTCCTAATCAAGTGGTCCTGGGAGCCAAGCAGTTTGCCATACGTGACTAAACTACCATCATGGACTTGTTATCCTGTCAGTTCCTCCACTGCAGCATAAAACACTAACAACTGCTCAGGTGAGCATGACATTGTGCCCTTTGCGAAGCCCCTGTGTATCTCTGATGTTCATATAGAATTCCCCCCACAATTAAGATCTTGAGGACCCACCAAGGACTAAAGAGACTTAATTGCGTTCACAATGAGTTGGGGATTGGGCCAGAGTCTCAATGACTTTCAGTCATTGTTTTAGTTATTAGACAATTACATTTCCTGGACAGATTTCCTTTATTGGTTTGTGAATTGCTCCCTTGTTAAACTGCTCCCCAGAATTTCTGGGGACAGATAATAGGCAGAAATCATATTCTAATCATGTGGACTTCTTGGAATTGAAGCTCACTATTGATTTTATCTCAAACCACCAAATACAGTATATAAACCACCACAAAAGCAGACAGACCATCATCCACTTAGCTTCCGCTTCACTTCCTGTCCTCCACCTCGAAAAACAGGTAAGAATTTCAGATGTAAATCTGATGTATTCTCTCTTCACCTTTATTTCAAACTAAGCTGAGATATATGAAAAAAATAATTGCTTAAAATATAGTCTTTGAAATAAGGGTATTTAAAGTAGTGCTGACACTATTTTCAAAATTTAGGTTAAAAAAATAGAAATGTCTATAGAGATTTGGTAAAAATCATTACTGCATGAGTTTATGAGTCTAAAAAATGTAGTAACAATGATTACTATTGTTTTAGTACAAGGCCAGTTAACAGGCTATATTAAAAAATCTATTTCCTGAATTAATAAGTCTTCTAATTTGGTTAAACATACAGCAACAATAAAAGAAGATATATTTAAATTATTTGGGGGGAATATGAATAATTAATGGGAAACCTTTATCCCACAGTAGTTTTAGAGGGAACATTGAGTCAAGATACTGCAGGACATGTTTGGGGATGTGCACTACTTGAAATGTTTATAAATATTTTTGCAGAAGTATGTATTCATTGAACTTCTTTAGTGTCTCCAACATCCCACTTTATCAATTGGTTTATAATAGTTCAAAATATTATTAAAATAGACATATGAAATACAGAATTAAGTTAAAAAATATTTTACTTTGTAAGAAAATTCTAGATGGGACAGAGATGACTTGGAAACAAAAGCAAAGGAAAGAGAAGATTTGAAAGAAAGATTACTTTAGAATCCATTGGTCAAAATGAAGTCCTGGTTAAAAAACTGGTATATAAAATGCTAATTATAAAATATAGAAAATGAGATGAGATCCTTCCTACACATAATGACCTCTAATAAGATACTATATTCTTTATTTTTTTTGAGTCCTAACAATAAGAAATTATTTGGAAACTTATGGAGCTCTTAAGCAAAGCAAAATTAAGATTTATATAGTATCCATGAAAAATATCTGGAAAAAAATATCTTTTCCTGAAGAAAGAGCATAATCTTCAGGCTTTAAATATTGGAAAGGATATTTTGTCGATTGATTAGGGACTTTTTTCATGAAATGTTTTTAGTTCAGAAATTTGGTTTAAATATCTGAGATTGAAGATTGCATGCTAAGTGATATTAGTGGCACAAACATTATTTTGTATAAGAAACTATAGAAATGCTACAAAATCAAGCATTTAGTACATTTTGGTTATATAGGTTAACACGTATATTAGGGTATACTACAAAAAGAAGTAGCCTGGAGTGGGGATTGGGCAAGAGGACCTGATACTTTGGTAAATGATCAAGAAATCAGAGAAAAAATATATGGTGTACCATCTCTAAAGTTATGTGGCACAAAGGCGAGGAGGCATAATTAGATGTGTAGGGATGTGGACTGAGTTGTGGGTATAAATGGAGAGGAAGCCAATCAGTGAGCATCTGGATAAGTGGAGGAAATAAAGGAAATGCTCCAATGAAAATCTCAGTCTAATTGGAAATAATGAGAAATAATTAAAAAAACAATATTCATGGAAACAATTTGGTTTAGTAAAAAAAAAAAGATAAAAAGAAAATATGATCTTCTTTGTATACATTTTCTTTGATCAGTCTCTTCCAGATAGAACTGAGGCTCTATCAGGGCTGAGACCTTAAAATTTTGTTTGCTGCTATCATCCCAGCACCTAGACAGTGGCAATAAAAGGTATTAGATAAATATTTTTGAACAAATGAATTGATTAATAAATGTTTCTGTAAATACTTTGAACTTTTTTTGGTCTTTCATAAAAACCCAAACATAGTGCTGTGAATGAGATGAAAAAGAAGGAGATAGGGTGGAGGTGATGGCTGAGAAAAACTGAATGGTTAGCCATGAGGTAAGAAAATGATATGTAAGGAGGGATCCATAGTAGACTTTGACCCTGCCTATATGATAAAGCGTCTATTAGTATTTTTTTCTAAAATGCAGTTTATTTTTATTATGTATTATCTTTAGTTTCTTTAAAAGGAAAACAATCTTAGCTAAATAAGAAAACAGATTGACCAATATATTACCATTCTTTCATTTCCCCATTGACAAGACTTGATAACCATGAAGACCCTCATCCTTGCCTTCCTGGTGGCTCTCGCTCTTGCAAGAGAGGTAAGCAAATGTCTAAATAATTAAGATATAATGGAATATCTGCCTATGTTAGAGAAGAACATCAGCAACATTGTTAAAGTACAAATAAAGCAGAATTTCAACAGATTCATTTGCACTTCTTAGAAAATCATTTGCATTCATCCACTATTTCAACAGTGTGCAGTAGGGGCATAAATCTGGGTCAAATGCTTTCTATACCACTGTGCCAGCAGTTCCTAAAGGAAAAGCAAATGGACAGATAAGCAAACAGACAAAACAAAAAGAGACAGATATAAAAATGACAATAATAATATTGCACAGATATGATTGCATGCATGTGCAACCTAGATAAATATATCTTATTCCAGTGATAAAATATATGTATCTCTTACCTCACGGCGCTGGGCCCGATTCTACCTGTGTCTACCCAAAGACATCGAGGGAATGGAGTATCAGGCAATAATTATAATCATAAATATATTTGTAATACTAATAAACTGTTTAAAACAAAGTAAAATAACTGTTACCCATCAAAAACTGTATATTCACGTAAGATAAAAATATATCAATAAAGTTACTAAATATAAAAGACATAAAAACAACTACCTTTCGAGACTCTCAATAATCATTTTTTTATTTCTTAAATTTGTGAAATAGCTCTGCATAAGAAGATAAAAATTAAACAGGAAAAATGTTTAATAATGAGTTACCTATGGAAACCAAAATGGTGTTTGGTTTTTTTTTTTTTCCTGTTACAGAAGGAACTCACTGAGGTAAGATGTTTTTATTCACAAAAAAATTTCCAGCCACAAAATATTAACATTCTGCAATGATCTAGGAAAAGCCGGTTGTTGATTGTTTTATTTTTTTGTTTTTCTTTTACAGTCTGTGGAAAGCCTTTCAAGCAGTGAGGTAAAGACAACGTTTTCAGAGGCAATTTCCCAGTTTTGGAACAGTAAAATGCTGTGCTATCTTTCTATTGTGTTTCATTAGGACAGTTAGGTCAAAGCAGCTCTGTTCTGACATAAGTTTTGATGTAAATTTCTATCATTTTTTTCCCATTGCATATGCATAAGGACAGAATAAATACCTGGAGAATTCAATATTCTAGCACTTTCTAAGTGGGCTCGCTACTTGAAATTGTGTCATCGTGACCCCCTCTTTTTTTTTTTTTAATGAACGGTGCAGTCCTGTTTTCTGTCTTGAGCTCTCTTTACCCTGTCCTCATTCCCTACTCTGATATTTATCAAGTGCCTTCTGTGGATCAGACATTGACTAGGAGCTGTGGCACAAACGAAAAAAGGGGTGCCCAAAGTAAAGAGCTTGCAACAGAATATGTGAGCAGACATGCGAATGGACACATTTTGTAACTACAAAAGTCACTTCAGTAAATAAGAGATGGTGAGAGGTAGTGTAGTCCTAAATCTGCCTGGGAGAATCAGGTAGGTATTTTACCCTGGCAGCACTCTTTTTGGATATGTTATATATTACCTGTTAGTTAAATTGTACATCAGTATACTTTGTCTCTCTACAAGGCTATTATCAGTCCCTTAAGGAAGGCATTTATTTCTTATAATTAATTTGAAGTGTAAACATATTAAGTAACCTAAGAATGATTAAAAGAATTAAAAGATAAAATTCATATTATCAATGAATATTATTCTTTTAGAATCAGATAGAGTATTAGCAATCATTTGTTGTCCTAGGAAAGGAGGATGGTGATAGAGAGAAATCAGCATCTATTAAATACCCCTTTTTGTACTATGTTCACTAATTTTCTTTTCTTATGTAACTTCACTCATTCTTCTCTTATACAACAAGCTTATGCAGAACAGTGCAACATCTAAGCTTCGGCAATTATCCTGAGTTTTTAATATTATCGAACAAAGTGTGCACGTTAACCTATTACGTGCCTTCATTTTCTGATTTGTATTGACAAAGAAACATTCATAAAACTAAAACTAATTTTATTTTTATTTTTCTGAAGGAAACAATTACACACGTCAACAAGGTAATAGCTTCATATTTACATGTACTTATTTTCAAAATTTCCTACACTTAATTTTTATAGGTGGTAACATTTCCTTATATGTGATTTGGTTTTTAGCAGAAACTTGAGAATTTCAAGCGTCAGGAACAGCAGCAAAGAGAGGTAACTTATTCATGATAAGTATATTTCTAAAATTATTATGGAATATAATACATACAAAATGTGTATGTGGTCACTCTAAAGGATGATAATAAAATAAATACCAGTGAAGAAATTAAGTTTTGATACTGTCAAAATATTTTGAAGACATAAATGCATCTTGCAAACTCACAATTTGCAGAGTTTAGAATCAAAACTGAAGAATAATTCTTGATTTACTCACATTTCCAGCTGGTTCCCCTTAGTCTCAAGATGGATATTCAGACAAAAGAGAAGGAAAAGGCAATACAGCACATTTATTAGCTGTATGCCTTTGACCCCAAGTTTCTCTGTACTTAGTTTCCTTTTCTGTAAACCAAGCCTATTCCTAACCCTACAGTATGGATAAGCTGGCGCCCAATGAATAGTCAATGATTTTATATAACATTTTGTAGGTTTTATATTAACATTTACAAATACATGTTCTTCAAAGAATTTCCATTACACAATGAGAGAAGTGAGGTACAGAACAATTGAGTGACAATATCACACAGTTATTAAGTAGTAGAGCTTGCTTAAAATTAAGGATTTTCTTCGACAACATAAAATTCTTCATTTAATTAAATTACACTTGTGGTAACATATTTATCTAATTGTAATATTTCAACTTCCTTATTTTTATCAATGAAGTTGTATTGTTTGGAACTTAAGCCAAATATTTCCTAAATCAAAATGAATTTACAAATGGATGCCTCTCGGAAGACTCAAGATAACTAACCACCTTCTCCCAAGGGAAGTAGTGCTAGAAGGTGGCTGGTGTTAAGTAACTCCTTGAATTAAGCTGTAAAGTAAGGTTTAATTTTCATTAAAACAGCAGCAGCCACAACAAATAAACCTTGGAGTTACCCCTCTAAGTCTTTTAAAATAGATCTTTATTATATGAACACAATTTGCTCTATTATCAAAACATTATGTTGAAAAGTCCATGAAGACAAAAGTGGACAACTACTTCTATCTAGGCGATTCAGAAAAAGGTGAAATAAGTCTTGAAATCTCCAAACACTGATTTCAGTTGGATCTGCGGACTCATCTATGAAGGGAACGAGTTAATGAGAAATCCCTGAATGAGCATTTTACTCATTAGTCTTCACCTGACTGAAAATTATCTCTTAATCAAATCAGTCAAAGATTTTCCTTCTCTCTTTTCACTCAGTTATGGTTGTTCAAAAGACAGGAAGTTAATTCATCACAAATGACTGTTATGGCTGAATCATGGACTCAAAGATTCTTTTCCTTCTTTCCAGGATGAACGCCAGAATAAAATCCACCCCCTTTCCCAACAACAGCCTCTAATCTATCCTTATGCTGATCTCATCCCTTACGCTGTCCTTCCACAGAATGTCCTGCCTCTTGCTCAGCCTGCTGTGGTGATGCCTTTCCCTCAGCCTGAAATAATGGAAGTCCCCAAAGTTAAGGAGAACATCGTTCATAGGCGCAAAGTGATGCCCTTTCTTAAATCTCCAGTAGTGCCCTTTTTGAACAGCCCAATCCAGACTCTTCCTGATCTTGAAAATCTGTACTTTCCTCAGCCTCAGCCTCAGCCTCAGCCTCAGCCTCAGCCTCAGCCTCTGTCTCTGCCCCTGTCTCTGCCTCTGCTCCAGGCCCTGATGCACCAGATCCCCCAGCCTCTTCCTCAGACTCCCATGCTTACTCCTCAGCCACTGCTGTCCATTCCACAGTCCAAAGTCCTGCCTTTTCCCCAGCAAGTGATGCCCTACCCCCAGAGGGACATGGCCCTACAAGCCTTTCTGCTGTTCCAGGAGCCTCCCCATGAGGCCCATCCTGTGACTCAACCGATTGCCCCACTTTACAACTTTGCTCTTGTAAGTCCAAACTTACCAGCTTTGCTGTCTCACTTATGACATGAATATGGTGATAGAGGAAGTAAGTGAGAACTCTAGAATAAAAGAATAAATGAATAATGGATGGATCTAAAATGCACTTTGTTTAGATCAGTGAATCTCAATACTAGCAACATAATAGAATAACCTGTAGAACTTTTTCTTTCTAAAATCCCAATGTCTGGGCCTACCTGCAGAGATTCTTATGTGATTGTTCTGATCTTCTATGTAGAAGATACTATTAGGAACAAATTGTTTCAAGAGATTCTGATTTAATTGATCTGTTGAGAATTTGGATAAAGAGGATTAAGGCTTATTAAGGCTGGAATTAAATTTGATAGTCTGATTGGGCTTGGAATAAAGAAGGCTTATTATTTTCTACAATTTTGAAGTTTTCCTTGTGCATATCTATTCTGCAGATGCCTTATTTCACATCTTGTTTTTGACATATACACATATGATGGTAAACAATTGAGATGATTATTTCATTACTCAAAGAATTCTTAGGGAAATTGTCTTTGTGTCTTCGCCAAAATGTGAATTGTATATTTATTTATTTTGCTTTTTAATTTTTTTTAATTTTTAAGGTTTAAGAGAATTTCAAAGCTAATGTCCCCTCCTCACTTTTGGTAAGTTTTGGGAGTTTGGAGGTTAGAGTGATCATTTTTATAGATAATATCTTTTTAGATTTTATTCTCCTGGATAAGTCCAAGACAGTGACAAACTTTGTCAATACACCAACTTATTTATTAATGATCAAAGTGTCATGGATGTCTCAATGGTTGACTAACATCTACTGACCTGAAAGTGTGTATCAAATTTTAATTAAGTGCTATTGACAGATCTACATTCAAGTGCCTGTGTTCTCATGCTTGATTATCATCATTTTTTTAGGAAAAACTGAAAATAGTTTCTCCTACTTTCATGTGAATATATTTGAGATTTTTTTAAAAGATCACTTTCATTCTCATTTCTAACTAGGCTTCATAACTTCAATTGTTTTTGTCTCACTTAAAATTTACATATTATCCTTTAATTCATGACTCAAAATAAAATTAATTATTCCAGGTATGAGGTTTAAAAAGAGGAAAGAATATAGCTTTGGGATTCCTAAAATACAACTCTGTCTATGATCATGATAGACTAGACATTTCACTAAAACAATATCAGGTAAGCTGATATTTAATTATATAGGAATTTTTATATTTATATAAAATCTAAATATATTTTATATATTCCTTCAAGGTAAGGCTCAACATTTTGCATTTGTAATAAAATTTGTCTTGTAAATTAATCACACCAAAATTACAAATGAGGAGGGATGAATAGTTATAGCATATAACATAACTAATTCTATGTGTGCTTTATATTCTACAGAATTGACTGCGACTGGAAATGTGGCATCTTTTCACTTGGCATCCTGATAGCAAAAATTAATAACTTTTAAATGAATCTACACGGAAAAAATGAGAGTTTTTTCCTTTATTTACTTTATGTATTATATGGCATTCATCTTAATCTGAATTTGACTCACAAACTCTACATTTTCCAAATTTTAATTCAACAATACCATAGAAATTTAATTTTGAGTCGGAAATACCCTAAACATGGGAAAAATATGTATAGTTTCTGGAATTGTGTTTGTTATTATTTATCTATTTCCTAACCAGTCATTTCAATAAATTAATCCTTTAGGCATACTTAAGTTTTTCTGTCTTTATTATAATTTTTTAAACCTAAGATTATTGTCAATTTAAGATTATTAGTGTTAAAAATAGTCATGGAAGAATTGCAATCTGATAGAATGTTTTGAATTGAATGGTAAAGAATATCAAAAAGTGGAGGAAAAGATAGGGTGATCATATACTGTGTTTGCTCTAGAAAGTCTTGGCTTATACCTATTGCCCAGTTAACCTAGTACACTTGGGCCTTTCATTCTCAAACGTACCCAACATTGGTTATTAAATTTTATGGTCACAATGGAAAAAAAAAAAAACTTCAAATGTGAAACCGGATTCACAGCTCAGCAACGTGTAGCTAAGTGGTGCTGTGAAAGTTACTCAGTCCTTCAGACCTTCAATTTCCACATCTATAAAACAGGCAATTCAAAGGTTTTTTATTAAAGTTTTAATATGATAGGTGCACTGCACAGATACAGGATAATTGCTCCCTATTGCTCCACATTACTGACCCCACTTATACCAGAACAACAAGAGCCAGTATCACAATCAGAATGAACTGGGTTATGTGGTTTTGGCTGGTAATGCCCAAGAAATAAGACAACATGAGGCTCTGATAGCCATTGTTTTTTTTTTTTTTGATTGCAAAGTAATTGTTTCATTGTAATGAATAACCTCCCTACCAACTACCACACCTGTACACTCAATGTCATCCTCTTGAGTTTACACAGTGACTCATCCTTAGCAATTATTCCATCTTTCCTGCCATCCTCAGTGATTTCCTCACCTAAGGACCAAATGTGAGACAACTTATGCTATATAATATCTTTCCTTTTTAAAAGAAAATTCCATCTTGTAACAGTACACTTCCAAACCCTTCCCAGTCCTTTAGGCTACTTATGGCAACTGTTAGAGAGGAACTATCCATACTGAATGTATTATGCTTTGATTAACCTGCTTCCATCAAAGTTTTGTCCCTATGGAAATCACTTTTTTCCAAGGTAAACAACAACTTTTATCTTATTAATCTGTGTTCATTTTACCCAAACTCTCAGAGATATTTGGTAGAGTTGATCATCCCTTTTTTTGGAAAAAATATACTTCCCTTCATTTGAAATCTTAAACCCACTAAAACCCCTGGCTTCTCTCTTAATGCATTAGCCATTTCTTTGCCATCTCCTTTCTGGTATTTCTTTTTCCAACTTTTAAGTGTTGGAGTACCCTAAGGCTTTAGCCTTACTCTGGCTGGCAGTGCTTAGTTCCATGGCTTTAAGTCCATTCATGGGTTGAAAGCTTCTAAATGTGTATTTCTGAACTCATTCTTTCCTGAACTCCAAACTCACACACTCAACTTGCCTTCTTGGCCTTGACACCCAAATATCTAATTATCATCCTAAATCTGGCATGAACAAGCATAACTCTTCATCTGGATCCAGTCTCTGAATTGCTCAAATTTAATTGGGCATATTTCTGTAAGAGAAAATTTGATAACAGTAATATAGAGACAATAGACTTACTTGGATAAGCACTTCACCAAAAGAGTTTCTTAATGGCCGTTAAACATATGAAAAGGTATTCAACATCATTAGTCCTCAGGAAAATGCTAATTAAAGCTACCATACAATATTATGACACAATCACCAGAATGATTAAAATGAAAAAAAAAATTGTCCTTACCTAGTATTAGGAAAAACAAATAATAGGAACGCTAAGCAATGCTGATGTAAATGTAAACTGGCAGGAGTCCCTTGGAAACCTGTGTCAGTCTTTGTCAAAAATCAACATCTGCATATCTTATGACTAGAGGTTTTACTTTTAAGAATATAGCCAGCAGGGGTACCTGAGTGGCTCAGTTGTTTAAGAGTCTGCCTTCAGCTCGGGTCATGAACTCAGGGTCCTGGGACAGAGCCCCACGTCTGGCTCCCTGCTGGGTGGGGAATCTGCTTCTCCCTCTCCCCACATTCATGCTTTCTCTCACTCTCTCTCAAATAAATAAAATCTTAAAAAGAAAAAGAATATAGCCAACAGAAGAGCATATGTATGTGCACTAAAAATAAGTACCCAAGTTCCTCGCAGCATTATTCTTAATACCCAAAATTAAAATCAGCACTAATGGGAATCAACAGTATTTTCTATAAATAAATTGTGATATACAATAGAGTGGAATGTTACAATGCAGTTAATATGAATGAGCTACTGCCACATACGCACAACATGGATGTAAATAAGATTGAATGATAGGTAGCCAGGCCCAAAGCAAACAAGACTGTACAACCCCATAAATATAACATATTAGAATCTATGAAAAATTCATTTCTAGTGCACTAAGTTAGACTAGTGTTTATCTGAGGGGACGTAGAACTGGATAAGGAACATGAAGTGGTGCTTTCAGATGCTAGTGATATTCTTTCCCTTAGCCTGGAGGATGGGTACTTTGTGATAATACATTTTGATGTGTGTGCTTTTCCATTTGCCTGCTTGTTGCTTTAAAAATGTAAGTAAATGTACAGTTCATGTGAAATCTTGTGTTTCTTCATTAGTGTCTTGTCTACCTTCTTTTTCCCTAAAAGGGGGGGCTTCCCCAGTGTGGAGTCACCTCTCCACCTCTGGACTTAAATATAATTCCACACTAGGCCAAGGGACCTGGTTTCCTCAGAAGCTATGGAATGGCTGCATCAAGCTACTGAAAAATGTATGGTTTGAACCCCTACTGGGGTGAAATGTGAAAAATGGGAACCAGGAGATGGGAGAGAACCTGCAGATTAATTCCTGCTTCATTTTTTTTCTCTGTATATTATTCAGAGGTGAGTTCTTCTGTGCAGCTTGTGTTCATTACATAATAATCATCTTCAGTTTTTTTATTGCCGAAAGGATTCAGAGGGCTCAAGCAGTTGAAACTTTTTGCAGGCAAAAAACAGAGGACAGCAACAGCGAGGGAAAGATATGCAGTGAAAGTGGTGCTAAGATCTCAGGAACAACTTATTTGTTCTCCCACTTCTTGGTAGCCCAGGATATGCTTTATCTCCGGATCTGAAACCACCCACGGAGGCTGCACAAAACACCTCCGTCCCGGGAAGGTCAAAACTACTTGTTGGGAGGGTCTCTTACAAAAACCTTGTTAGCTACATGACCAGTCTTAACTGTTGAAAACCATCCCTGCTTCACTCCCCCACTCCTAGACTTCACTGAAATCTGGTACAGACCATATGCAATTATTACTAAACAATCCTGACAAGCTGATCTATCCTGCCCAAAGCAAAGCACAGACATATGGTTATAGTATCATTTGCCATTAGTAATTAAATACCATAGTGTTGACCAAGAATCAGTAACTCTAGAGATAAGCATACAGTCATCCAGACCAACTGAGATTGATGCTATGTTATGCATAGCCTTTCTGGAGAAAATAGGTGTGCTGAGAAAGCATACCTGCTGATAGCTTTCAACTTGTAGTGAAGTGGTTCTCACATTGGCGTCTTTCCTTACCTCCAATTACTTAGGGTGCAAACATTTACATAATTCATAATTGCTTCCAAGTAAACTTGAATAAATAGAAGCTGAAATTGTAGAAAATTGCAATTATTTGCATATATACAAAGTCAATAAGCTATAAAATATTGCAAAAAGTTGATATCAACTTTAATGAAATATATCAATAGGACAGAATGTATTTCTCTCTTTAAACAATTACCAAATGTACTTTAGAAATGTTTGAGAGGGAGGAGTAGGAGACCTGGATTTCATCTGGTCTCAGGAATTCAGCTGAATAGGGATCAAACCATTCTGAACACCTACGAACTCAACAGGAGATCGAAGATAAGAAGAGTAACAACACTCTGAACAGAAAAGCGACCACTTTCTGGAAGGTAGGACGT